ACTGAGCTAAACATTAATTTAAGAAAAGTGAGGTCAAGGTCAAAGGAAAGGTCAAGGTCAAAAATTGTTGATGCAGTTAAAATCCTTATGTCAGTATGTATCAACATATGAAGTTTGATTACACTATCTTGAATGGTATCTTCAAAACTGAGCTAAACACTAATTTAAGAAAAGTGAGGTCAAGGTCAAAGGAAAGGTCAAGGTCAAAAAATGTTGATGCAGTTGAATAGCTTACATTAGTATGTATCAACATGTGAAGTTTGATTACACTATCTTGAATGGTATCTTTAAAACTGAGCTAAACACTAATTTCAGAAAAGTGAGTTCAAGGTCAAAGGAAAGGTCAGAGTCAAAAATGTTGATGCAGTTGAATAGCTTACATCAGTGTGTATCAACATATGAAGTTTGATTACATTATCTTGAATGCTATCTTTAAATCTGGTCGCCCGCCTGGTGCAGTGGAGACCGGTCCTTCGAGGTCCCGTGTCGCAGCCGGTGTTGGCACGAAAAAGATCCCTCACTGCTCAATGGCCGTAAGTGCCGAGTATAGGACAAAATTTGCAGCTCTCCACCGGCAAGTGGTGGCATCTCCATATGAGTGAAAAATTCTCGAGAGGGATGTTAAACAACATACAAACAAACAAACAAATCTTTAAATCTGAGCTAAACACCAATTTAAGAAAGGTGAAGTCTAGGTCAAAGGAAAGGTCAAGGTAAAAAAAATGTTGATGCAGTTGCATAGCTCTCATCAATATCTATCAGCATTGAAGTTTTATAAAAAAAAAATCTTGGATAGTTTCTTTGAAATTGAACTTTAAACAGAGCTAAACGCAAAGTGCGACGGAAAGACAGACGAAGGATGGAAGAACGGACTGTAAGCTGCTCTTTTATCCATGTCTTGTACATCTCATCTGCATTATTCTGTAAAAAAGAAGAGAATATAAGTTTGGTAACTCTCTGTTAAAATCTAACTCTAATAATGCTAATAAAATGTTTCTATACGTCAACATAATTAAAAACATTAAAAAGTAATTGGGGGGGGGGGGGGGGGGCATGTAAATCTTCTCATTACATTTACTGTGAGTATTGTTTACATTTTGTTTGTTTTTTAATACCTGTTTTGTGTTCCACTTCCACTGGCATTGTGATTTAGGCAGCTGGGTTCTCCAGGACCAAGTCCGACTTTCAAAGTTCCATTCATTTCAGCGCTGTGAGTCTGTGACACCGAATTCCAGTTGCTTAATATACAATAAAAATAAAACAAATCGTATTTTTATGACTTAAATTAATGTCAAACTTCATATGCTGATACATACTGATGAGAGCTATTCAACTGCATCAATATTTTTTGACCTTGACCTTTCCTTTGACCTTGACCTCACTTTTCCTTAATTAGTGTTTAGCTCAGTTTTAAAGATACCATTCAAGATAGTGTTATCAAACTTCATATGCTGATACACTGATGAGAGCTATTAAACTGCATCAACATTTTTTGACCTTGACTTTGACCTCACTTTTCTTAAATTATAGTCAAAATTTATATGCTGATACATACTGACGTAAGCTATTCAACTGCAATACTTTTTCACCTTGACCTTTCCTTTGACCTTGACCTTACTTTTCTCAATTTGTGTTAAAATATTGCATTTCTAATATACCCTCGGTGGGGCATTCATGTCCTATGGATATATATCTAGTTTCTCATTAATGAAGAAAACAGCTCAGATGAACTGATAGAATTTGGATAAATTTGTCATAATAGGACAAACACCACCAAATGTTTTGCCCATGAACTTCCATACAAAGTTGAGCCCCTGTCACTGATTCATATATTCAATTTTGGGCAAATGATTTTTTGCTGTGAAAGTTGAAGATCTTGCAAAACAAAACATGCCAGAAAAAATATACAGTGCCGTTGCACTTTTACTTTCAAATTCCATTTGTTTACAACTAGGTGCGTTCAGCACCAAATGAAAATCTCTATCCAAAGTACACCCCTCCCTTCAAATTTTTACCTGTAACTCCTATATATCTCAAAGAAGCTTAAGTCTTGATATGAGATTTTTATCACCTTTATTTCACTTGTCAATTACATAACAAGTCTTTTCTCTAACTGACCAATCATGTGCCGTGTAGCATTTTCTTCGCCGCACAACTTTGGGTGTCTACAATGTCTGCGCCCATGTATAAGGTGTTTTTCTTATAGAGAAATAGAAAACACTTGTAAAAAGTGGTCAGTTTAGTACATTTAGAACACATATCCATAGGTTATCTAACCTCATGAATATAGAGACTGACAGTCTTAGCTGAAGTACACCACTGGCTGTTACATTTCACACCCCAGTCAATCAGACCTATACCTGTGAAATAGAAAATATGTCTATAAATTGAAGCATTTTTCCACTTTTCTTTCAAAATTTTGAAATAAAATGATTAATCTAGCATATGTTTTGCCTGTTTTTCTTCTCATCTCTCATAATCTCTTAAGACAGATCATGTTAATCAATAAGGGTATCAGGTACCCGATATAAATGAAAAAATGAAAAAAAATCAGCAGGTTTTTGTAAGAAAATGCTCAGTTATGGAAAGAGGAAAAGCTAATGTAGGTAAAATAATCAATGAAAAGAAAGAGAATTATGTTTGATTTAAAAGAATAGATTTTTTTAAAAATATATCAGGAAAAGGTTGCTGGCATCAGAGAATCAAATACACCCCCACTGAAAATTTTGTCATTCTGAAGGGGGTGACCTACATTTTAGCCATTGTTATAGGAAATTTCATGTAATAAATGTTAAATATGTATATTCTCATGAAAGGCAAATATATTTATTTGCATATCATTTCTAATTATTGACATAATTATTAAATTGAATAAATGCCAAGGGCAGATAAATCATGTTGTCTGTCTGAATACAGGGCTCAATTGTAAGCAAAATGCTTAAATAACTGCAGTTCTGAGGAAGTTTATATTCTTATAATTTTTAAAAAGTTCTAAATAACTTAAATATTAAGAGATTAACTAGATTTGCTAAGAAAACCATACCTGGGAACTCTTAATGAATGCAAAGTATTCATCCTGGGAGTGTCCATATGTTGTTCATTGTAAGAGGGGAGGGTTCATTAAACTTCTCCTACTTGATGATGCATAGCTGAAATACATTTTATTAAAACATACTGATACATGCATGTAGTAATTTATATTATAATAAATTCTTATTTACACCATCTTTTGAATTTTTTTTATAAGCATTTATTATGTGATAGCTTAAAAATAATAATGTTTTATAAAATTTACTCAGATTATAAAATTAAAAAAAAATGCTCAAGAAATTTTAAAAAAAATACTGCATATAAGAATTAGTTTTGTTATTCAAATATGCTACATTAAAAAACTTTTCCTTCATTTTTTAGTATCATTAGAGCACAAATATATCCCCCCCCCTCTTTTTCTACAGCATAATAAAATGGGATCTCAGGCAAGGGGGAGGGATATTTAGAAACACATATTTCACCATTTTTTTTCACTTTTAATTTTGCACATTTCTTACATTTTTAATGTATTTTCTTTTGCAATATATTGTACAGTAATTTTAATAAAAAAAATCCTACTAGTAACCTCTCAGTTACACCAAAAGCATAATTTTTATTTCAAACCAGCACTAATGAGATGACTGAAATCTGCTTTGCAGCTGGATTAGGCCCCATATGTCAAAACAAAGTAAACTATTTTGTTAACAAAACGGTCAAATATTGTTAAGAATTATTCCATTAACTCTTATTAAGACCCCCAACCATCCCAGCACCCCAATTATATATTCCCTAATGTTATATTCACTGAGTGGAAGTTGGTAACAAGTGAAATAGCTTTGTATCAATTTGGAATTTCCCGATCTTTTTTTTTTTTAGAGCAATATAGAGAATTTACCTGGAAGGTCATGTGCAGGTAAATATAACGTAGTATTTTTCTAATATTGTTGGATCTCAGCCAATCAGAGAGATAGGAATTATTCAATCATATTATAATTAAAAATTTATTATTTCCAGGACTCAGTGGAAAAATCTAAAGTTTACAAGGTTCCTTTCCTCACATTTTCTGTTTATGTTTTATTAAAAAAAAACTGCATGTAATTGAAAGCTCTGTATAAAAAAAGAAAGAAAAGAAGAGGAAAATCAACAATAAAAAAGATTGTCCCCCTGTACCAATATTTATTTCCTATATAATGTTATAAATTTTTATAAACATATATAAATTAATTCTGTTCTTAATTCTTTATTCTGTAACCCAGTTAAATTTAACTTATAGCTGTAACATACTCCATTTAAGCAGCAAAAGACAATAAATTTCGAAGGGGTTATTTACAGTCATATATTGCTTTAAAAGATATTATTGTTTACATGGGGGGAAAATCTTTTCAGTTTCATCTAAAAAAAATCTTATTCCAAGTTAGTCAATTTAATAATGGCGATGTGGTTAAGATTTCTTATTTATACCATATTCTTATATTTATTCCATGTGAAGAATTCATCGCCTGAGAATTACAATATAATATTAATGTTCTAATCGAATTTTTCTTCTTTTTTTCAAATTGAAGCTAAAGTTCATGAATCATTATCTGTTTAATCATTGCCTTTTGGATTTTGAGATAGGACATAAATACATAAAGTATGCTAATTTATGGCAAAATAAAATTAGTAGTTAGTAAATTTGAGTGGAAATATAAAAATTGACATTGAAAATGGAGATAGAACATTCTACCCAATTTTTTGTGCAATATTTTTTTTAGAATTAAAATGTTAATGAAAATAGAAAATATTTATTATTTAAGTAAACTGGTGAAATATTTCCTTTGTTGAACCAAAGATCAATGTGAAAATGGTACTTTTTTACTGAAATTAATTAAACTTTTGACATCAAAATTCAATTGAAATTAGTATGACTGTCCATCAATATTTTCTCGAAACAAAATAATAATCGGGATCGGGATGTCAGGAAGTTCATC